AAAGTGCTAATAGCTGTTAACTCAAAAAAGATTAAAATACCAGACAAATTGCTAGTACCTTAAAAAGAGTTATAATAATTTTGAAAATGTAAATTATGGTTATGCAGTCTTTGGAGAGAACTGTAAAATCCAATATTTCTTATATTTCGAAAAAAACCCCTGTGGCACATGTTTTTTTTCCCCCCCTTTAATCACAGTAATTTCTTCAAATGACACCACTATGTATTTCTTTAGGAAGATACACTGCATTTTTCAAATTGCATGTGTAATATAGGTGGTACCATTGATAGTTTTCAGCAAGAGGAAAAGACATTGAATACTGAAAACCAGAGATCATGGGGAAATTTTTTTAAAATTTATTTTTATGGTCTTTTTCTATATTACATGTATTTTATGAGTTGGAACAGAGAACAGTTCTTTTCATCCTAGCTAATGGAGCTGTGCATGACAAAAATGCCTGCAAACTTTGTATGTAGGCGTAATGATTTAAAACGATGTGGACCCTCCTGGTGTCTTACACTGAACTTCTCTAAGGCACCGAAATGCTGAGAGAGTCTATACAAAGAGGTGAGCATAATTTGTACTTCTGAGTAGATGAAAGTAACTTTAGTGTAAAGCTTGCCACACTGTAACGCCAGGAGACACTGTAAGTAAAAGATGGAACTTTCCCTAGTGGGGCCACATGTATTTCCCTGAATAACTTCTACTCGATAAAGCTCTAAAATGGAATATTTGCGTTTCCCCACGCTTTGTTTTCTAGAATTTACAGAGTGCAGTTAGCAAAAAGATTGCTTAGAAGACTCATTTATCCACAGAGGAACTACAGTGCCGTTTTTTCAAGCAGCGTACAAAGCCACAGCCCTGTCTGTTCTTGCCCATAACCTATGAAAGCCAGAGAATTAACAGCCTCAACTATAAGTGTATCTTCCTTTGTACAAGAGAGATAGGTAAATTGAATTTTGCTAAACAAAAGGATATATAAAACACATTGAGAGAGCTGACAAAATAGGTTAACCCTACCATGAAAGTCTTTACTAAAGTGAACAATGATTCTCTAATTTATATACTCCATAAATCCATATTTTCATGTATCAAGTTTGCTTAAGGTGAATTGTATCTCCCTGCAAAGCAGTTATCACATGGAGATATTTTCTATTTTTAAAAATTGGACCTTCAAAATAAATTGCCTGTCAACCTAGGTATAAAACTTGTTACAGGCCCTTCTGTAGTGCAGAAAGGATGTACCAAAGAAAACAGTCCCATCTTTTTGGTGGGTTTAAACGTGTCCCCTTCTCCATCTTTTTTTTAAATCTCTTTTCAGTTAGTCGTTCCTTGAATGCTAAGTGGCTTGGTGTATGTTTATTTCCTTTGCGATGCGATACATATTTTCTGAGTACCCTCTCTGACCAAGTGACATCAGCTCTCCCTACCTAGATCTGCACCCTTCTGGCTTATTTATGGCAGGGGGGGACAAGGTGACCTAACAGTAGCATGGGAACATCAGGTAAAGAAAAGAGAGGATTTCCAGAGAAGGTGTTATTGAGGAAAATTTTGTAGTTCCTTCAAAAGAGCCTTAATATAAAATAGGTCTTTCTTGTATATGAAGTATATTTTATTTTATTAAAATATATCTTTATTGATTTCAGTGAGGAAGGGAGAGGGAGAGAGAGAGATAGAAACATCAACGATGAGAGATAATCATTGATTGGCTGCCTCCTGCACATCCCCCACTGGGGATCAAGCCGGCAACCCAGGCGTATGCCCTTGACCGGAATTGAACCTGGGACCCTTCAGTCCGCAGGCTGATGCTCTATCCACTGAGCCAAACCAGCTAGGTCTATGAAGTATATTTTAAAGGTTACTTCTTGCCCTATGATTATATTATTTTGAACATTATAACTAATGTTATAAAAATTTATTTCTGAAATATCTCAGAAGTGGAGCAATATTGAGCATTACTTTAGAGAATTGGTCATCCTAACATGTTGACATTTAACTCATGCACTCCATAATCATGCCTGCTTTAATAAAAAGAGCTACCATTTGGGGTCCATTTTTTTAAAAAAATGTTTACTTCTTGATTTGAGAGAGAGTGAGAGAGAGAAATACTGATATGTTGTTCCACCCATTCATGCATTCCTTGGTTGAGTCTTGTATATGCCCTGACCAGGGATGAGCCTTGTATATGCCCTGACCAGGGATCAAACCTACAACCTTGGCATCTTGGCATATTGGGACAATGTGCTAGCCAACTGAGCTACCTGGCCAGGGTCTGGCGGCCTTTTTTAAAGTCAGTCACAGTGTTAGGCATATTATTACAGCTAATCCTTTATAACAGTCCTATGATATAAGTACTTTTATCCTGTTTTTACAGTTGAGGAAATCAAATCTTAAAGAAGTAAAGTGTAACCAGGATTCAAACCTGTTCCTAGTTGACTCTAAAGTCCATGGTGTGAACGCAGTTGCCATGTTTCTACTTTACATGTGCACAGCTGGAGAACCTCAGTCAAAGGCAGAGGCTTTAGTTCAGGCGAAAGAGATGGGCAAGTAAAGGGATGATGGCCATGCAGTGTGAAAGGGCTTAAATCAGGGACAAAGTTCATAGGGTGCCAGCTGTGGGTGTACAGAGCAGGGGTCCCTAACCTAACCTCATGGGCAGATAGGCCTGCTGTGGAAAAGTTTCCTGAAGGAGGGAATTCTTGAGCTGAATATGAGTTCCTGAGGAAATTGCTGGTCTTTGTGGTTATGATTACATTAATCTCTAGCTTGCCCTTGCTCTTGGATTTCTAATTTTTATTTCTAGTTGTTATTGTTATACTAGAGGCACGATGCACGAAATTCATGCAAGAGGCTTGGCCCTCACAGCACCGGCTTCGTTTGGAAGGTTGTCCAGAAAGATGTCTGGAAGGTCGTTTGGCTGTCTGGTCTAATTAGCATATTATGCTTTTATTATTATAGATCATTCATTCAATAGTAATTAGGCCTGGCTCATAGATTTAAAAAAAAAATGATATGGCTCTTATGGATCCTACATTGGAGAAATAGACATTAAACAAAGCAATTATAAACTAACTCTGTAATATAGGTGCTATACAGGAGAGGTTGGCAATATTGGAAGAGTGAAAAACCTAGAAGCCTTACTTCATTTGTGGAGGGGAGCAGGGAGAGGGCAGGGACCAGAGTTACCTGGGAAAATGACATTACAGCAAAGAACTCAAGAATGAGTAGGGTGAAAGGTGAAGGGGAATATAGTCAGTAATATTGCAATAACTTTGCACGGTAACAGATGGTGACTAGACTTGTGATTACATAATTAAGTATATAAATCTTGAGTCACTGTGCAACCCAAATGAGACTACAAAATAGTTTAACAAATTTTTAAAAAAAATAAAGAATGAGTAGGAAGTATGCATGAGAAGGTGGTTTTAAGGGGAAGTGTATTAAACAGTATTCCAGGTAAAAAAAAAAAAAAACCAACATGTACAAAGTCCATGAGGCCAGACAGAACTTGGAAGCTTGATAACCTGAAATTCAGTCAGGTGAGTGGCTAGTATAAAAAACAAGCTAGAGAGATAGGGCTATATGACACTTGGCCTTCTAAATGTACTGTTAGAAGCTGCCTCAACACAGGCAAGACTTAGAACATAAATTTAAATTTTAAAAAATTATATTGCTTAAAAATCCTCTTAAGACCATCAGTTCATATTCTCAACTCCATATATCAGTTCTTCCTTTTTATTCAAAATTATTTTCTTCTTATTTTTGAAAACAAAATGTTATACATCATCTCTACATCACAAAAAGAATTAACTGCGTGTCTTGTTTGAATTTAGAATAAAAGTTGATTTCTATACAAGCAAATTTTGAATAGAGAAATATTCTGACAAAGATTAACTATCATCAATGCAATGCTGAAACATCAACTCTCAGATTTATATATTAAAACATGATATATATATATATCACAGTTTTCCAAGTCACCCAGAAAATACCCTATGATTTCAGAATAGTGCAGACGACTGAACGTCGTGGTCATCGTACTTGTAAGCAGGATTGAAAGGCACACAGCAAGGCTTTCGTGTTACTTTAGGGCTTCCCTGGTGGTCCTGCTCTTTCCCCGTGGTGGGCACGTAAGGAAAAGGGAGCAGAGAAATGTGTACCACAAGCCCCGTCCTGTAGACCAGCTTACTTAGTCTAAATGCACTATTGACATATTTGAAAATGCCCAAGTGTTTGGTAAAGATTTTAAATAAAGCTCCCTAAAAGCTGTGGTTCTCCGGTTAATCATTTATTTATCTAAAGGATGAAGGAAGCTGTCTACTCTTGTGATATGAACTGCAATCAGCTTAAAAATAATTGACAAATTAATCCCTTCACAGCACAGCAATTGTACAGGTGTTAGTTTTAATTAGGCCTGTCTGATTGCCTTGTCTAATCAAGAATCAAGGTGGTATCTCTGATGGTTAAGGTCTGGTGGGGCCATCCCTGACCTGCCAGCCATGTATGTTTTAATTATTGATTCAGCCCTTTCCACAGAGGGACTTGAAGTCTGCAATATCTTAACATTTAAAGGGAAGAAAAATAAACATTTCCCCCAGCATTTCTATCTATAATCTTGTCCTAAAAAGCCCGGCAGGTTGATGACAAAGTCAAATGCACATTCGCGCGCTCACTTACTGCAGTCTCACCTTCTAAGCACTAGATTTTCAATGGACGCATTTAGGATCCCGGCAAGTCGCAGTGATTTATGCTTCTAGAAAACACATTTGATGTCTTGATATCTTAGGTCTTTTTAAAAATCTGTGAGGGTGAATGTGGTATTTAGCAAACCGGGGCGGTCAGACCAAAAGGGCCGTGTGTCCCCTGACTGAGCACTTGCCCACACCCCGGAGAGGGACTGCGGGGCGGGTCCCTGGTGCCACTATCAGCCCCCGGTGCGCGGGGGCGACTGGTGGTTTCAGCGGGCCAGGTGTGTGACAGCGACTCTTGTCTGGTTTCAGGTCAATGAAGTGACGGTGGAGCAGCTGGTGCAGCAGTACCCCCACATCACCTTCAGCACCGTCCTCCAGGATTGCAAGAGGACCCTGGAGAGAGCCTATCAGATGGGCTGGACCCCCAACATGTCCGCGGCCTCCTCCTAATGCTCCTGCCCACGCTCAGGTCCACGCGGCCGTTCGGCGGGGCAGGGAGGGGTGTAGCTTTGGGGTGGGTGATCTCTTGGAAAGGTTTGAACTGTCACGTGTCTGTGTGTGTACCCGAGTGTGTATATTTGTGTTTCGTTCGCATACTGCCTAGTATAAGCGCAATTGCTGTTTAGTCCCAGGTGAGCTGGTTGTTTTTCTTAAAAGTTAAAGATTTTAAACGCCACAAACCTTTTGATTTTTAAGTTCAAAGGCTTAGTTCTCTTTTTTTAAAAAAAGTGTTTTTACTGTGGAATAAAAAGAATTGAATATAGTATTTTGAACTTCTAATTCCTACCACTTGGTAATGCCCTAAAATGAAGGCAACTGCGTTCTTTCCTAGTGAGATAGACTAGCGCACTTCCGCTATGACAACCAGAACACACGTGATGTGGCAGTGGTCAGAAGCCTGGAAACCAGCTTCTCTCACTCCCACATCCATGCGCACGCACACCAGGGCAGTTCCTTTCTGTGTCATTTCTGACATAGGGGCCTCCCTCCCGGCCACTGGGAGAGCATGCTGCCCACTGTGGCTCTGCTAACTCAGTGTCTCCATCCGTGGCCAACTTGCTATCTGGTAGGTGACTTAGGAACTAGAGAGGAGAAAGCCTTTTGTGAAATTTTATCTGGAGGTAACAGTCCCCTGGCCAGCTCACAAAAGTTAATTATTCATCAGTCTACAAACGCGTTCTGTTGAGTACTAAATATTTCAGTTGAGTTTTACATTAGCATTGTGTTAGTTTTCACTTCATGGATAGTAACTGGTCTTGGATGTATTTTAATGGCATTTGGAGCTAATCTTCACATTATTCACATTAAAGTCATCAATGTAATTAATAGTGTGAAGTTATTTTTTAAAAAATCTACAGATCATTTAATTATTTTTGTTAATTTGGGTAATTATGAAATTATATTTCTGAGATTTGGGGGTAGTCACATTAATAGAATATTAATGAGTGATATAAATAGACAATCTTTTTTTGGCTTTGTTTAGCTTTGGGCTTTAGAGCAGGTTTTTGGTCATAGGCATGTTATTTTTAAACAGTTCTTACGCTACTGCAAAGATCTATTGCTGGTTAATGTATGAGTTAAGAAAAATTATAAAGTCTTTTCTTTAAGATTCTGTTTACACTTGTCAGAAATAAACATTTCTTTGTTTAAAGATCGACACCTTTCAGTTAAGAAAAGATCTATGTAAATGAATGTTTTGATTTCACACATATTTACAGTTAATCCATGTAGAGACTCAGGCTCAAATAACCTTTCCTCTGTCTAGATTTATAATCAAGACAGCAGGGAGCCTTTTTATGCTAAAGAGTGATTATCTTTCCCAGTAGAGCTAGATACGAAACCCTGGCTTGTGAGTTTGCTATTTATTCTTCCCCAGTATGGACTAGCTGTTTTTGTTTTGTTTTTTGGTCTTTCACAGGTATACTAAAGTTTGAGTTTACCTTTCTATAAGTCCCAATATTGCTAAAATGAGACTATCTTTAAGAAACAGAAAAATAGCTTTACATTCAAATGTCATTCACTTATTTATAATGACTCCCAAAAATGTAAACAACTGCTTTTTTTTGATTATGTCAACATGCTTCTGATATGGCTTTTTTATTTTTATTTTTTGCTTTTAATCCAAATCAGTTAGGAAAATCTAGTCAGTACCCACCAAGGGTGTTTTTTTCTGTCACTAAATGGTTTATTAATTTAATTTTAAGGGAATGAAGTTTGTGTAAGGAAAAAAAAAGCTGTTTACCATTAATAAACTGTAATTCTTCTTACACATCAAACTGTATTGTTTTCATTTCCCCTCCACTGAAAAAAATATCTTAAATCATAATATTTTAACTGGTTTTTAATCCAAAACTAATTTATAAGACAGTATGAATAGTAATAGTAGCTTGAGTGAATAAGCAAAAGTTTAATTTTTATATATGTCACACTATATTTTAAATAGTTGAAAAAAAAAAGACTAAAGAAGGGAGAGCCATCCTTGATACAGATGGTGCCATTTCAATTCAAAATTGTAATAATTTTGGAGTGTTACAGTTTGTTGTCAAATGGTTTCAGAAGTGTACAATTGATTTTTTTAATGTTGCAACGTTTGATCTAAAGTGCAGCACTATAACATGCTTCAGCTTGGGTTGGGGGGTGGGGGGGTGCACTCTTATTCTTTAAGATGTTGACTAATCCAGAAAGCCTGATGCCACATAACCTGGAAAACCGCTTTGGTATATTTGTAGAAATCTCTAGAAATGTCCTATCCAGCCTCAAAGCATTAATCTCAAAAAACAAACAACAAAAAACAGAAAATGCATTACCTCGAGTGATCCTGTGGTGGTTGTTGAATGTGTTCTCATTAGATGCTTTGAATTGAGGCTTAAAATGATTTTTCTGGGCAATATAGAATTTTTTTGTTTTGTTTTTGCTTAGAATGTCATAAATGTATGTGAACACGTTTAATGCAGGGCTTTTTATCCTCTCCAAAATGTCAACAGTATTTTCAGAATAAAGGCTATGAAATATATTGCTGTAGTGGAAATTCTGGTCCTTTGTCTTTAATGTCTTTTTGAGTGGATAAAGGAAATTTACTCGGTTTGTAGTATCTATATTTCTGTGAATCTTTTGACCTTGCAATGGGTTGCAATAAAAGAGAAACAAAACCACTGTGTCTTTTGTTTTCTTTTAGAGGCAATCAGTGGTCTCCCTGATGCTGGTCGAGTGTGAGGCAGGCAGTGGTCCATGCCCTGTGTGTTTCACTAGGACTTTATGTAGGTTTGATTAACTGGGAATAATAAACAAGACCCGGTTTAGGAGGTTCTAGTTTGGCTAGTGATTACTGAGATAAGATTAAAACTGAAGGGTTTAAACAAGTGGTTTGTTTACAATCCCATTCCCTAAAAACTCATTCATTCACTTAGCCATTAATATACTCCTTTACTTTTTTTTTAAGTAAACGAATACATTTATTGAGTAAAAAACATATGCGAGGCACTGGGTATTTAAAGATCCCATCCTCAGGTTGCTCATAGCCTAGCAAGGAGGAAGTCTTGAAAACCAGCAATAGCAACAGGTATAATGGCACAATTAAAGGGAGCATACGCAGGACAGAGCTACAGCTTTGGAAAGGAAGATCTTCACAGAAGAGGAGCTGGTTTTTGTTTGTTTGTTTGTTTGTTTTTAATATGTATTTTATTGATTTCAGAGAGGAAGGGAGAGAGAGATAAAAACATCAGTGATGAGAGAATCATTGATTGGCTGCCTCCTGCATGCCACACACTGGAGATCAAGCCCACAACCCGGGCTTATGTCCTGACCGGAATCGAACCGTGACCTCCTGATTCATAGGTCGATGCTCAACCACAGAGCCACGCCAGCTGGGTGAGGAGGAGCCTTTTAAAAAAATTAATTTATTGAGATAAGATTGGTTAATAACATTATATAAGTTTCATGTGTACAGTTCTATAATGCATCATCAGTATATTGCATTGTGTGCTCACTACTCAAAATCTAGTCTCTTTCTATCACCCTCTTCATCCTCCCCCCACTCCCCTTTTCCTCTGGTAACCACCATACTGTTGTGTGTCTATCAGTTTATTTGTTTGTTGCTTCTGTTTTATATTCTATGTATCATGGTTTTGTCCTTTTCTGTCTGACTTATTTCACTTTAGCATGATACTCTCAAGATCCATACATGTTAACCTAAATGGCAACATTTTGACATTTTAAATGGCTGAGTAGTATTCCGTTGTATATATGTACCACATCTTCTTTATCCAGTCATCTGTTGAAGGACACTTAGGTTGTGTTCATGTCATGGCTGTTGTGAATAATGCTGCAATGAATATAGGATACATATATCTTTGCAAATAAATGTTTTTGAGTTTTTTGGGGGTAGATAATCAGAAGAGGGATTGCTGGGTCATATGCTATCTCTATTCTTAATTCATTGAGGAACCTCCATACTGTTTCCATAGTGGCTATACCAGTCTACATTCCCACCAGCAGTGAATGAGGGTTCCCTTTTCTCCACAACCTCTCCAACACTTGTTATTTCTTGTCTTACTGATAATATCCATGTGAAATGGCATCTCATTGTGGTTTTGATTTGCATCTCACTTATGCTAGTGAGGTTGAGCATCTTTTCATATGTCTGTTGGCCATCTGTATGTCTTCTTGGGAGAAGTGTCTGTTCAGATCCTCTGCCCGTTTTTTAATTGGATTGTTTATTTTTTGTTGTTGTTGAGGTGTATGAGTTCTTTATATACCGTATTTGCCGGCGTATAAGACGATTTTTTGGCCCTGAAAAATATGCCTCCAAGTGGGGGGTCGTCTTATACGCCAGGTACACTTCAGATAGACTGCCCATAGTGCTTGCCCCGTGCCATAGTGGCCTCCCGATGCCCGCCCACTTCATTCCACACCGTTCAGG